CATGTTAATCTGGAGTTAGCATAATGCATGTCATATTTCTGGAATCAAAAATTACTTCTCAGAGATGGACCGTTCTATTACGAATTCGTCGGATGCTAGCAATCAGTGCCATCAAGCCGCAACGATGGTCCGGTGACTTACATGACGTAAGCAGTACCAGGTTGTTTGAGATATATAGTGCTTTCGGAGCTCACGAAGCATGGAAAAATGCCTCGATCCGGAATGTTAATCTGTGATTCCGGGTCCACGGCCTTCACATTCCGAACTGACCTTGGACTGTTGTTTTTCTATCTCAGTTTATTGTTCTCAGCTGTTTGGTTATGTTCTCGGGGTCTGCCCACAGAAGTTCTTGCTCGAACAAAGGATGCGACAGCTGCCGCGATATATCCGAAAATGTATGTCTCCCACGTATAGTTTTTTTCGTACCACGTTTACCTGTCAGTCTTCCGTCAGTTCTAACTTATTCCTAAGGGCCCACCGGAAGTTGTTTCTTTGGTGACCATATAGAAGTCTCGCGCCTCTGCACTGATCTGCACAGCAGTAGCGCTCATCATCATCATCGTCTGCGTACCATCACTGTTCAACTTTGGTGTTGAGCTACCTTACTAAGTGTGCAGTTCATTGACGCCCATATCTCGGGTATGATTTGGGCCTACGACCAAAGTCTTCATCTCAAAAGCCNGGATGCTCTTGGCGTTGCTGTCTATCTGGACGATTGTTCTCAGCTGTTTGGTTATGTTCTCGGGGTCTGCCCACAAATGTTTTTGCTCGAACAAAGGATGCGACAGCTGCCGCGATATATCCGAAAGTGTATGTCTCCCACGTATAGTTTTTTTCGTACCACGTTTACCTGTCAGTCTTCCGTCAGTTCTAACTTATTCCTAAGGGCCCACCGGGAGTTGTCTCTCTGCACTGATCTGCACAGCAGTAGCGCTGATCATCACCATCGTCTGCATACCATCAGTGTTCAACTTTGGTGTTTAGCTACCTTACTAAGTGTGCAGTTCATGGTTATGCATGCGCTGTGTGCCTCCAGGACGCCCATATCTAGAGGTGATTTGGGCCTACGACCAAAGTCTTCATCTCAAAAGCCTGTCCACAAGGCAGCAGTTTTTGGTGGGAAATACAGGTTCATTGCAGTCTTTCGAACCCTCGACTCAGAGGCCCAGGGATTGTGTTGGTCAGACATCTAAGCACTGGCGAACCCGGTATGAGAGAATCTGAGCGGCACGCGGGCACTCCGTAGTATAGCTATATGGGTCGCGGACCTTTAAACCAAGGTAAGAACTAGTCTTTGACGCTCACTCATTTGGGACGCTGCTAAGTCCTGAGACATGATCTCCTTGTATCGGAAGAAGATCCCGACCGGAGGGGACGCCGCTGTTTGTTTGATCAAGGGGAGGCCAGCCACAACCCACATGCGACTAGTTGCGTTATTCGACTTCTTTAACGATGGTCTTAGATATGTAGCTTTTGCCGATGCCCCGGGGATTCTCGCTGACCGGGCTCCGGTTTGTGTAGGTGTTGGTTTCAAACGGATCGTTCAACCAGGAGTCGAATTTACGCTAACTGAGTAATGCCGCAGTCGGGTGAGGCTTACAGGGGTGCATCCATTTGAGCGGACGCATCCGGTGAACGAAGTACCGGTCAGTTATGAACGCAGTCGTCGAATTTTAAAAACCGCGCTTCAGCTAGCATGGAACCATGACGGTTAGAAATCCGTCAATGGCGGTCCACATGGTTAACTGGGTTCAGGGAAGTTGAGCTCCATAGACTAGGTCCAACCTATCCCGAGGATGAAGTCGAAATCCTTATACTCTTCAAATCGGGACCGCGGTGTCGAAAGGTTGGATGATGCACCCTGGCGAAAACACCGTGGAAAGATTACCGCGTGGTAGTGACACGGCTTTTAATCCTCAGCAAGCCAGTGATCCACTGAAGGATGCCAAGGTAGCTACCAGAGTTTATCCTACCACTTCGTCAATGACAAGAGGTCTGGAAAAGAATCAATGGGTCATACATATGAGGGTGGGGGTGGAACGTGTATGACACCTTGTTTCCTGAAATCTAGACGCCGATGCCTTCTGGCCGGACTCTTAAATTTGGATTAGCATCTTCACTGACTACTCTCCAAGTTTAGGCACCCGACAGTAGCTCAGTTCACGCACGGCATGAAATAAACAAGCAGAATTACCTTCATGCCCCATCGAATTTTGTGTAATGACGACCAGTCTCTGTATGGAGGGTAAGTGAAAGTATGCGCCTTCTGATGCGTTCCACCAATCTTAATCATTTTCTCTTAAGCTTCATTTTGCCCCCAATTATTATTAGTTTTCCACGTATCGAGGCATTTGGCCGACCTAAAGCTACCACCTTGACGTGGTGGTCGGGCTTCAGTGCTGCAATGATCGCGCGGGCTACACTGGCTGGAACTTCGTTCCACAAGGTGCAACCATGCCAGGAAGGCCAAAGGGGGGCAGCCAGACCAAGAGCAGCGAGACCCCGTACTACGAGTAATCGTGCTACGAGGCGGTCTGGGGGTAAAGTCGTACTGTCCTCTGCGACAGGAGTGTGAAGGCAGTAAGGTGTTTCCCCCAGGCGACCAGCATGTCCATATTTATGGAAGCAGCGATGCTGCCTTCCCCCGAGGAAGGACGGGTTAGAAAAGGTCGGCCCCAAAAACCGCACACTCCGATCGCCCAACGGTTGACCGTGACCGCCGGCACATTATCCAATACGGTCGAAATACTTTTAAAACCAAAGAGCCCGGTGCTGCTCAAAAGGCACCTGCTGTGCGCAGCCGCATCAGGAATGAGACAGTAATGCCTTATTCCCTGCGCCCTCGGGTTAGGCCAACCCCCTGCAGCCGAGCAGGTCAAACTGTTGAGTCGTCGGCTCCGGGTAGGGTCCCCAAAGGAAACCCTACATTTTCCCGCTGCCTCGTGGGTCAGACTTTTGAGTCAGAGGCTAGGGTCAGGGTACCCGAACAAAACCCTACGTCATCCCACTGCCTTGTGGGTCAGACTTTTGAGTCGAAGGCTAAAGGTGGGGTACCTCAACCAAAGCCCTTCCTCGGCCTGGGCAACTGGGAAGTATCATTTGCCCGCGCAGTTCAGCGTGCACCGTCCAGTGACACATCTGGCACTGGTGCTTCGTGAATTGTCCGAAACGTGCATAAGCACTAACCCGAATATGATGGTTTTTCTCATATGTAACGATGGTTCATTTCAGTATCCTTTCACTGCTGGGGATACTGGGTCGTGACGTCTGCGTTACCATTGCGGTACCATGCTTAACATTACACAAACGTTGGCATTCGGTGGCTAGTACCTAAACGGTAGTAACCTTGTGCTCAAGTGTGGTAAGTAATCGAGTACGAATAGTTGATTGAAGACGAGCAACGAAAACTAGACACTTGAATTGGTTCACTGTGAGTGATTGCATTTGCAATTTTTCGCAATCGCGGTTGGGGGCACCTGCCTAAGTGACGCAATCATCGCAATCGTGCCTGGCCACTTTGGGACAGTTTTACCAAACATCAAAAAATTGAATGCTGTTCGTCGAAAATTTCGCGGAGTTGTTCCGTTGTTTGTAAAAGTTTTGATCGTTTGGGTGTCCGTGGTCCGCGGTTCGGACCTGACCTCTGCCTCTCGATTTCCCCTGTCTAGGCTTGGGCAACCTGGCAGTATCCCAGTCCTCATGCTTCCTTGGGGTAGCATGGCAGCTAGGCACCGAAAAGGTGTTACAGCTGAGCGAAGAAAACACTTGGATGTTTGGGGAGAATGAAGTTTGCGAGACGGTCGTGCTTGAGGGTTCCAAGTTTTTGGACTAAGAGAGGGAATTTCCACGTATCATCTTTGTTGGTAAACTTATTCTGGAAAGTATCCTCCCAACGGCTGTACCATGAACCGAATGTGAGACCAAATGATAGTTCTTACAAAAAGTTCGGTATCAGTTGCTGCGATGGAATCGGTAAAGGACAAAGAGCTGCCACTTTGAAGTGGGACTGATGCCTGCGGGCTGTTAACTTGAGTAAGAGGCTAGTTAAGTCGCAGTTGCGACTGTTCGGTCTGATCTTGTTGCTGTTGGAGGATAGCCTTAAAATCCTCAGCTGAAATTGACATGTTTGTGTTCGTATTGGGTTCCCGTCGCCAGTTGTTTGGTCTCTACTGATGCATCAGTCAGACTTGTCAGTTACACCGGAATCCATGAGACAAACGACCTTAAAGAAGTTGTACCGGAAACAACTGGGCCGTGTAGAGTGGTTTGTATTTTAGGAGACGTGTGCATGATGTAGTCGTACAGTGAACTAGGGTTGCTGGCCACCGATAATTTCCATGCTGCTTCACAAGAAGAGTGTCCGCCGCACCTGGATGATCCTTGTTTGGAGGTGGTTATCATATTGGAGTATTCCACCAATGCCGAGCATGTTAACTGTATAGGGGACCCCTTACAGAGGGAGGGT